TCCTGGATGTCCCTAGGCTGGTTTGAATTCTGAGTGGGAGGCTCTTAAGCCACATTCTGTTCATCCAGATGTTCTCCAAAGTGCCCAATAAACTGTCAGCAGTTCTGGAGAGAGGAAGCCAGGTCACTCAAATATGTCCTACTCCTTAAATTTGCCACATATCACCAGTGATTTATCCTGTATGTCTCTACCCTGACTTTCCTGACAATTTTCTATTAAAATAGGATAGGGGATTTTTTTTGATACTCAGAGATGGCATAGCATTCTAATAGTTGAAGACTGCATTTACTTTCACCTTAATTCTGATCGATCCATTCCAGGACCAACCTTTTCCACTGCTGAAACCAGTTACTATAATACTTGGGAGTACCTTGGCTCTCATGTTTCTCCTTCCCTGGTAAGCTGACCTTTGTGGTGAGCAGCTTCTCTATTTTGAATGGGAACTACATGCCATTAAGCCTGCTTTGACTATGGTAGGCACTTATTTAAGATGGATGTTTTAAACTTGGTAGGCTGCCTTCTATGAGTGTTTTAAATTCACTCCCAGAACCTCATCCCTGAATTCTCACCTCAAAAATTTTTAGCTGTCTAGATTTGGTGAGATTTGTTGGATACCTGCAACTCAGGCTGAGATCTGCCTGTTCCTTGAAATCTATGTATTTGGCTCAAAACCTAAATTTCTTATTCTGTGGAAGTTAAGGTGGAGGGAATATCTGAGAAGAAGTGGAAGGTAAAGTTCAAGTTCTTTAGAAAGTTGAAAAGGCCTTTCATGATGAGCCCCTGTACCTCTTTGACCTTATTTTCACCGTTACTCCTTTGAACTCTGCTCTAGAGGGCTATTTGCAGTTCACAAATCTGCATTTTTCTTTTTCCTCTTCTAACTTTTCGTATGTTTTATCTTAAGTTAGTACTCTGTTCACTTACCTACCCACCGCTTGTGAACTCATTCAGGTGTTTATTAAGCACTGTTTATGTGCCAGGTAGTCCTCTTCCCTCTATGTGTGAATAACTCCTACTTACCTAGCTAGAATGTAATTCTCTTCAAAAAGCTTTTCTGACATCCTAAGTCCTACCCCTGACTTAGCATTTTTCCTGTCTGCTCTCATAGTTCCTTATGTGTTCAAGGAACCATTCTTACTTCATTCACAATTGTGATTCAATTGGACAGTTTGTACAAAGCACTTAGTGCAGTTCCTGGCCCATAAGCAAGCACTGAGTAAATGTTATTATTGTTTTCAGGCTTCCTACCTATTCCTACTCATAAGCTGCTCAGACCCAGCTAGGTCACACTTTATTGCTTCCTTTTAGCCTTCTTGCTTTACCTACCTTATCCTTGATGAGGGTCCAGGTGGCATCAGCTTCATCCAGTGTTAGCAGGTGGGGGGTACCAGCCAACATGATGGGGTATGGGAGGGGTTAGGCAGGGTGGTGGCTGCTGCAGGAACCCCAAGCCACCCAGGAAGGTAAGGCCCAGGCCCTAGTCTCTGACCTACTACAGCATGAGGTCATAGAGGTCCTGCTGGGTGATGGGGCCTTGGGTGGGGAGGAGGCAGTCACTTTCCTAATCTCACTATTCTTATAGTCTAAGTCCATACTCTTGAGTCACCTATCTATTCTTCTGCTCTAGGGGAGGAAAATGCAGGTATCTGTTAGGGTATCTTTGTCTGCCTGTGTGTGTATGTGTGTGTGTGTGCGTGCGTGCGTGCACACATGCATGCATGCACGCATGCTATGTGTAGTTCTTGGTCTGAGTTTTTTAAGGAAACAGGATCAGGTCTCCTTTTAGCAGTCTCCTTTAAGCAATCTACAATGCTGTCTTTTCACCTGCAAATGACTTATTGAGGTTGTGCGTGCACACATGCATGCATGCACGCATGCTATGTGTAGTTCTTGGTCTGAGTTTTTTAAGGAAACAGGATCAGGTCTCCTTTTAGCAGTCTCCTTTAAGCAATCTACAATGCTGTCTTTTCACCTGCAAATGACTTATTGAGGTTGTATTGGGGTCTTGAAGGACATGGAAGAAGTATAGATCAGGACTTAAACTGAGAATCAAGCAGTAATTCTCAACCTTGGCCATACTTTGGAATTACCTGCGAGCTTTGAAGATCTGACCTCCAGAAATTCTGATTTAATTGGTCTGGAGTGTGCCCGGGCATCAGGATTTCTAAAAGCTCTTCAGGCAGCTTTAAAGTACAGCCTGGGTTGAAACCCAAGTGGGTTTCAATTGCAGTGAAAACCAGGTGTGTGTGTAGGAGGGTGCTATGCTGAATGGTGACAATGTGGAAGATAAGAATCTAATTGGGATACTGTTGCCTTAGTAATTAGAACTTTCAGGAAGCCAGAATTACCCAGGTAAATTTGCGGAAAAATTTTTTATGCTCCACTCTCCCTGTCTCAGGCTGATCTGTGTCTAATAGATTCTTCCCACTGCAGCCCTAATCTATATGTGATTTCCCCTTGTGTCTCTGTCCAGAGATCTCAACTTGCTGTTTTGATGGAAAAGAAGAGTGGTTTTTCCCCAGAGAAGAACTACTCTAGAGAGCCTTTCTAGTAGCTACTCTCTCACTCTGCCTCTTAACTGTCCAGAGTTCTCTCTGGACTCCTTTTGCAGAGTCTTAATGTGTGCCCAGAAGACTCCTCATGTGTGGGGAGCATCCTTCTCTATCCTGGCTGAGTATGTAGAGCTATCCCACAAAGCTGGCCATTATCTGAGCCTAGCCAAGGTGGTATGAGTATGGGGTATAGGGAAAGGTCCTCCAGTGGTAGGAGAGAGTGTTACCAAGAAAAGTTTCCTAAAAGAGACGTAACTGATTTTAAGGGAGGGCAGGTCTTTCTAGACAGAGCAAAGGGTATGGGTACCAGGTCTTTGAGCAAAGTTTTGACAGTGAGTATGGACCTGTGTTACAGGAGAGGAATTAATATCAAATATTTGTTGAACTCTTATGTGTTAAGAGCTGTGCCAAACACTTTAAGTACATTATTTTAGTCAATCCTTTTGGTAGCCTCTAGTAGGTGCTATTATTTCTTCCATTTTACAAGTGAATGAACAGGCTCAGAGAGGTTAAATAAATTAGTGCAAGTCTGCCTGTTTCCAGCTTTTACCATTAAACGGTGAGTAGTTCCTTTTGGTGAAAGGAGAAACCAATGTATTACTTCTGCTCTCCTGAGTGTGTGTTGGGAGGAGTGCATGTTAGGTGGAAGTGCAAAGTGGTAGAGTGAAAAGGAAATGGGCAGGATGAGAGAAGAACTGCAATGG